TTGGCATGTGCTTTGACATTCTTCTGTTTGCCATACACGAGCGCTTGTTAGAGCATTGTGTTCCTTGAGATTTAAAGGAATGTAATTTTGTTTTATATACGTGTGAGGTCTTCTTCCAAGTTCTCGTCGAATCTCGTGCGTCCGACTGTCTCCTTTCCTTCGACGAGCTTTGTTTTTGTCGTCTAGTACATGGAATGCCTGTCATGCATCTCGTCAACTCTTCTCTGGATTTGCTCATGAAATTCGTTGATGCATCGGTGCTTAACGAAGGAAGTGCACGCAGAAAAAAAAAAAGAAAAAAAAAAAAAAACTTAAGTCAGGAATTTTCGGTCCTTTCAGTAACAGCACCGTCACTCTTCCTTTTTTTTTTTTTGGTCGGTGATGTTCACGAAGCAGCGATCCGAAAGATGGCATGAAGGGTAAGCATACATGACAAGATGTGCACGAAACTGCGACGGCGCATGCGTCAAATGAGAATCCCACACACAAGATAAGAGAAGCGGTAGCGCGTGACCAATCATCGACATGCAAATATAAGTCGTTAACACACACATTCTTTAATAACATCCATTGATTTAGATTCCAATCTTGAAGCGGCCAACCCGAAGCCCTTCACTTCTTCCCAGCCTTTCGCGGCTCACCTCAATGACGAACTCTACCTTCCAGTTACATACAACGTGGTCGTGCTGTCGATTACGATCACACACCGGGCTGTGGAGCACATGCACCTCCCTGGTATTCCAAACGAAAAACCATTAAAAAAGTAAACGAAATAAAACTGGTGCGTGGCGGAGTGTCCATGTGGCCACCCCGTTGAATTGCGCACTGCCACCCAATGCATCTACGACGCGGTAACATGGGTACAACTACCCTATTAAAGGCGTCTTTTCTTTCACACATCGATCGACACCTCTACTGGACCGCCAATATGCCTTGCCCCGCCGAACCGCCAACGTCGCTGTATTGCCTGTGCACGTTCGGTGGGTGCATGTGGAGAGAACCATGTTAGCGGCACCGTCTGGTGACACCATCACGAATCTAAACAAACCCCCCACCCCACCACCGAACCTCCCACCCCTGTCTTGCCCCTCCGCAAGCCTCTGGCGTTCATGGTGCATATTTATTGGCTTGATGTGAAGTGTGCCACTCGATGCAAAATGCGCACCTTGCCACTGCCTCCCAAATGAACCCACGTGTCAACTGTCGTCCACTTCATCTTCATCCGCCTTGGGGCCGCTGCCGATCCAATCTTCTTTTGCGGCTTCCACTGCATTCTTTAGTGCCACGTTGTGATCGCACACCAACCCGCAATCAGCCCATGTCGGGATTCAATGCAGGTAATCTCCCAGCGTGAGGTGAGGCTTCCCTAGCGAATTCAACATGAGGTTGGCGGTGTCGAGTCTGTCAACGATGTATCGCCGCCAGTTGAAGATGTACGACCCCGCCGCTATAGGTGTGGGTTTGGCGATCATGGACGTGTAGAATGACACCTCGTAGTGTGAACGGTCGTCGTCGCCACCCATGCGCATGATCCTCGTGCACACGCTCAACAACACCCGATGACAATCTGTAAGCCGCGACAACCTGTCTTGTTTCAAACGACCGCTGTCCGGGAGAGTCGGGAGACCACTTTCGACCATTCCAATCCCTGGCAAACAGAGACGACGGTACCGTAGTTAACGATGATGTACGACTCTACATGAGCGAAGGCGTTCGACCTCAACGGTGACTTGAAGATCCAGCCGTGGATGGTGCACATCACCAATTTCTCCACGTTGCACGCACTGTGTAGAGCCGGATCACGTTGCGCAGGGTCCTCGATCTTGAAGCGCAGCACATCATTGGGCGGCATTATGAGCATGGATGGCGGTTCAGCTCTTGCATCTCCGTTTTTGATGGTGACGAAGTAGTCTGCATAGTCACCCACCGCCTCCCTCAAGGGTTTCCCGGGGCCTTGACCCTAAAAAGTGTCGCAATCAACCCACAACTTCAACCTCTCCATGAGATCGTTCCAGTTATGCATTCGCTTCTGCCTGTTGACAAGCGGTCGGTCGTCCTCATCATCACCCTCCCACCTTCCATCTCTTCTCCCATCATGGCAACGGACGTCATCGACCCTCCTCTCTTTCGAACCTTCCACGACTCCGCTTTCAGAGGTATGATGATCTTCCACCACTGTCTGACTACCGCCTGCCTCCACGCCCTTTCACGTGGACGGTGTTCGCACCGCCCCTGCAGTCCCCCTGTGTTGCGGCAGGACTGCCTAACGTGGCTGGCCCTTCGCAACCACTGCCCTGTCAACGCCACCGCCCCTTGCAACCAAGACAATCGCCACGCAACCGCCGCTCACCGTCGCCTCACCCGCCCCCCCAGCTTGCCAGAGCACGCATGCCTCGTTGATGACAATCCCTGGCGCCCTGTGGTTCCTGGGCGACGCTTAAGCAACCAGTTGTTCCATCGATACCCCATCCCACCCAAAACCTTATCACTTGCCTGTTGCCGTCCCTTCGATTCCACCACCGATGTTCCCTCTGATCGAACGTCATCATCGTTTTTCGAGCTCGCATCATCAACACGCTGCCTTTTTCGGCTTCGGCACATGGCCTCGACCTTTCCAGCCCTCCTCCCCCTTGGCAGGTCTGCTATCTCTCCTGCCCTTCCCCAATGCGCCCCGCGGTGGCATGTCGACAGAACTTGCTTCCTCTGCCATGTGGCCGATGAAAACTGCCATTGTGCGAAGCGAACTTGGACGAAGGGCACATGAACTCGTTCGAAGGGCGTCGGAAAGGAAGGACGTGGAGGACCTGCTTTACAGCGCACTGCCCTTGGAGGCGCGACAACGACAGCGACGTGAAAAGGTCCATCGAATACCGAAAGCAGATGGAAGGACTGCAACAGTGAAAGGCGCATAGACTCTCTTTTTGTACCATGCGTGGTGTCTCAGCGCCTCATGGACACGCCTCGCTGTCCAGAACAGTCCACCCCTTTGTGGACCGTCTACAGGCCATTTTCCCCCACCCGGTAGAGGTCATCCTTTGCATGCCCAACATTGCATGTCGGCGCATAGGAGGACCCCGCGCGGAGGTAGATAGGGCCCGCCACCCCAAAAAATACACCCACAACCCCCCGGTCCCCCCCCTTCCCCCCCCCCTCTTCCCCATCTCCACTTGACAAATAGTCCCAAAGGCCTATCCCCACCCGACTCTCAAGCAATCATCCATCCATTGGCATGGCCTCACCACCCGACCTCAGAGATGTATGGCCGACTAACGTTAAGATCACTCGTGGATCGCTTTCGCAATCTCCAAAGGGGCGTTGCAAATAATGAGGTTCACCTGGTCAGCCTTCTCCTAGTGGTCCTTTTGCACCTCCACCTCTCTTTAAGTTTCGAGAATGTCGCACTGCCTCGTGAGAACTGAGCACTGCCTCTTGCTCGCGTTGTCCACCGTCGTCGCCATCAGCTTCCCGTGCTTATCCATGACGTCGGCGATCGCTTCAAAGGTTTGTTGTCTAACATTCTTCTGTTTGCCACCCCCGCAACCACTACCACCGCTGAACGTGAAATCCCTCATCGATACCTGATCATCGTCCTGTCCATCCCCGCATCCCTCAATAGCCACGGATTCGTTCCGACCGCCACCTGCCCCTGGCATCTCAAACCCTCCAGCCACACCCGTGTCCGCGAGATTCGTCGGGTGGATAGTGTGATCAGCCTTCGACATAGCCTTCATCTCCGAATACACACGCTCCACCATCCAAAAGTCGAACCCGCACTCCTTCCTCTTCGCCAGCGTGAGTCTGAAGAAATTGTGCTTCCTGGATTCTCCTATGAATCTGTGCACAAATTTGAACTGTTGGTAAAGGTTGTCCCATTTCTTCCCTCGATCGACAACCTTCCTACGCATTAGAATCGTCACCCCCATCTTCACGAGCCTCTTCTCTACGTCGTCCCACTTCCACGACTTCATCCGCCCGTAGTTGTGACCCAGACCAGAGAGATGCAAATCCTAGTCTCTTTTCATTCGGACCAGAGTAATCATATGCTCCACGGTCGAAAAATCTCTGCTTTTCGCTCCCTCGTATCCTCCAAAGCCTTCTTGCCTTTCCTCCCCACGCGAAATTCCGTAGACTTGCTTGTAATCCTCGACCCGCCCCGCTTCCTCCCAACTGGATGAATCTCCATTTTGCCGTCGTCGTTCTCTTCGTCGTTCTTAATGTCGACGTTGTCCGCCGCACAATCTTCGCCCCCTCCACCATGGCAATCCACGAATATATGGTCGCCCCCAACATTCATCTTCGCCACCCCTCTCGTTATGTTGGACAAGGTCGCTTGACGCGATTGTCGCCGATGATCATCCTAAACCTGTCGTCCCATAACCTTTGTAGCAGACCAATCATCGTTCTCCCCTCGTCCGTCGATTGCATCGGTAGGCATTGTCGATCGACAGGCCGCCAATCCCGTTGTCTTCGTCCTCAAATTGGCCACACCTGAACTGCTCACTGCTCCCCGCTTTGGCGCAACCAATCTGCGTTCGTCGGCCGACTGACGATAACAACCGCCACGATTATCTTGAAGCCCCCCCCGCCGTCAGAGAAGGTGGTGCGTGGTTCCTGCCTGAAGTTGGGCTCACGGAGGCGGTGTGTGTGACGTCCTCACCGATGCCAGACCTTGGACCGAAGTTGAGATCGACGAGTCATGCGGCGTAGTCAGCCTGGGTCCGTCCCTGCAGATCAGTGTACATCGGCGTCGTTGCCTGTCTGAACAGATGGCTCCCCATCCAATCCTCCGTCGAACCGTTGCCCAAAGGAACCGTTGAGGATCGAGGGTCGTCGGCGTCGGCGTCACTCGGAGGCAATGGAATCTCGTTGGATGGTAGTGGTTGTACAGTGTCGGGTCGTACGGCCGCCTGCCACCCTCCACACCGGTGCAACGCTGACGTGAAGATCCCCCTACCCCTACCGCAAGCGTGGACTTCGTCTGAAGGTTGTCCATTTTCCTCGCCTTCTTCGACGCTCGCGGCGTCACTCTCCTTCCATGAACGCAGCCGAGGAAGAAGTTGTGGAAGAGCACAACGACAAGCGGTAGCACAGCGATGAGCAGCAGCAAATGCAGCTTGCGCTACAGGTCAGCCATGAACGACAAGGCAGCAAAGACAAAACACGCACTTGCTTTGTCCTAATCGCGGCGAGTAGGGACACAGTACAAGAGGGAAAACACCAACGGACTAAATCCCTGCAAGGACCGACATGGGGCGGACGACTGCAATGCTACGACCACAGACGTCCGATGCTCACCACAGCCCCACCGACGGGCCACCCGAACAACCAAGAGGGTCGCCCCGCAAATCACTGCCAACAGTAGACTGAGGAGGCTGTTGCAGGACTTTGTCGACAACGAGGGCCCGCAATGTCCGTCTTCCGGTCAGTGGACCAGGACTGGACAACCTTCGATCTCCAATTTCCCTTCCGGACTCGACAGCGTCACCGCGTGAATTGCAGATCCTCGGGCTCCAAAGGACCTCACGAGGTCCCTCAGAATTGACTCAATTGAGGACGATTTGGCTGGGAAATCCTCAAAGCCCGAGGATTTGTCCTCGAAGTGTTTTCACTTCTTTTTCGAAAATCGGCTCCGAGGACAGGTGGAACGACGACGAAATCCTTGGAGTCGTGTCCCTCAGGAGTGTCTAACGACGCCCAAATTCTATAGCTGCGATGCACAGCTATGGCCATCGCGGGAGGTAAGGAGACTCCTGGGCATGGTGACGTCAGGTAGGTTGCCTCACCCAGCAGCTCAGGGCCTCAGCGTGCGAAGTGCGGAGGTGGCAAGTTAGCGCTGCATTACCACAGCGCTAACGCGCCGCTGTCCAATTTATATATGCAGTCCAATTTTACGCAAGAGGAATTTAAAAGAAGCTCTAGACGAATTTAGAACTGACTCGAGAGAACCTCCAGAGGAATTAAACCACCAGTACTCGGCCCAACTATGGGTCGTGGAAAAGAAATAGAGTAGAAACGTTTCTAGTCGGATGAATTTGGGCGCTCCTGTAGTGGGGCCCATTCGTCTCCTACAATACTGGCTTGTTAACGGGCACAACATTAGGAAGTGGTGGTTTAAAAACTTTACCTTAAAATATCTATTTCCATGTTCTTTTTTTTCTCTCTTTATTTTTCTCTTTCCTTTCCTCTTTTTTCCCTTCTGTTTTTTCTTTTTTTAACAAGTGCCCAGTGCCCAAGGCTGAGAGCATAACAAGTCCAAAAAGGGAACATACAGATTGCCTTGCCCTACCAAGAGCTCATAGCCCTGTCCCTTCGTCGTCACTAACTACAGTGTTGTGAGGAGACTGCAACTTTCACGAGACTCTGAGAGGCTTTGAAAGTGCTGCGATGAACTTGTGGTGTGAAACATTCGAATCCAGTGCGACATCAACGGATCGAGGAAAATGTGGGAGGACACCAGGATGCGACTGCAAGACAACGAACAACTTCTGCACGAGGCTTAGAGGGAAAGGCACAACGTCGACGGATGGAGGAGAATGTGGGAGGACACCAGGATGCGACTAGAAGACAACAAACAACTTTTGCGCGAGACTTCGAGGGAGAGGGACGAGGCACGAGAGCGGTGTGACGAGGCAGAGACGGACCTGGAGGTTACAAGCGAACAGGCATGGACAGCTTGGTGGTTTATGAGGACATCGTCCACGGTGGATGCCGAGTGCGCGTTTGAGATGAAGGGATCCACGTTCGTTTCGAAAGTCTTTCTCTTTCAGATAAGATCATAAGGGAAACTGCAAAGAAGCGGGGATTTCGTCATCGCGGGCCAATGTGGACACGTGTCTCGCTTGTGAGGAAACTTCAGCCCGCACGGCGTATGGCAGACATGGAGCGAGAGAGAGTTGAACTGCAGATAATTTATGAGGTGCTCATGTGGACACGTGTCTCGCTTGTGAGGAAACTTCAGCCCGCACGGTGCATGGCATGGAGAGAGAGAGAGTTAAACTGCAGATATCTTACGAGGTGCTCAGCCTGCCCGCGCCTATTCGGGATGAAATGGACAAGGAGTTACGCGAGTTCAAGCCTCGATTGAAGTTTCCATCACCGCATGGCAGAGAATGCTCGTCTTCTCAACCCACACCGAACCTGAAGCCTGCAACAGGCCGGTGAGGTTAATCCCCTGCCGGTTGTGGCATCTTGACAGTTGAGGAGTCTCAGCATGGGCTGTGATGCCCACCGCACCTGTGACACCGAAAAGAGGGATAGGACCACGTGACGTTGGGACCTGTGCACCCACAGTGTCGTCCAGAAGGCGCTGCATTTCACTGGACGTGAAGCGGAAGTCAGCACCAGATGACGGACATGGAGGTGGGAGACATGAAGTGGGTCCCACTTGTGTTGGAGCTGCACTCCCTGTCCAGCTCGCAGGGGGGCAAACATCTTGGGATTTGGAGTACCCCCAATCCAGGATGCCAGAAAGTCCAATTTTGTCATAGGTCCCTAACATGTTGCAGGCTGGAGAACGTGGCGGGGCAGGGACTGGAATGCCTGCAGTCACACTAGGACTTTTTTACGTATTTCAGGAAGGAACTGCGGCCTGATACATCCAGGTATGGCTGTGAAGGCGATCAGATACATCTGAGATACCGCTAGTGTGAGTACACCCTGAGTCTGGACATGTCTGTGGAGAGGTGCAGAAAATCGAGATTGGTCTGCTTTTTCTGCATCTCTGCGTAGAGCACATCCAGATTCAGGTGCCCCGGGTCCAGCATCCCATTTTGGTAGTGGGACCTCAACCCGGGTCCAGCGTCCCATTTTTTAACAGACAAGGCTAAGCCTTTTGTTTTCTGCAGATCTGTGTTTTGCCCCTCGTACAGTGCTCGGGAATGTGGGGGGACAGCAGACGAGCGGGAGGCCAGGTTCGACATGGCGTCATCAAAAATTGAGGAAGGACAGACGAGAAACGGGACCCGCACAGACGACAACAAGACACGAGAGAGAATGAAAGGGTGGGCGATGACATGACACAATGGGCCACTAACAGTGACTGAGAGGCCGTCTTGCCTCCACCACCCTCTCCATGGATTGGCAGTCCCACAACCCCCGTTGCCCCTGACCCGCAGGACCCGGCATGCTGGCGTCCATTTCCACAAACATTTGACTTTCCTTTTCCGTCAACCCTGCAGGACAGCGTGAGGGCAAAGACTGACGGCGAGGATAACAAGTACAGCGTGGGGCGAAAAGATTTCGAGGTGCCATGGGGCGATGCTGCCTTAGGCCCTCCAACATGCGATTGACTTGTTTTGTAAGGTGTCTCAGGCCAGAGTCAATTGGGCTAAATCGTCCTTGCTGTTGCGGCCCAGAGCTGACACCACCCCGGGCACCCCCCATTGGGGAGTGCGGGTGGTCGTCCCGACCCAGCACGAGCATGTTGGATCGGCATTGCGCCCTTGGGTTGCCACAAACGGTTAACAGGTAGTACCCCCACTTTTCACCCCTAGGGTAACCTTCACAACCCTGAAAAGTGCAGTGGGGATCATGTTTTTTGGTTTTCTTATAAATGGGGGTGAAAATTTGGGGGTTGGTTAACCTTCTGTCTGGGTTGGCCATAAGGGTGTCAGTCTAAATGGCCGGGCTCTGGAGCCAAAACACTCTGTTTTTTTCCACAATATGGTATCAAAGAGCGGTTTTCCAGTCGAACCTGCGGCACTGCAAACTGTTCGTCATCTCGCTACAAATTATTTGTGGAAGGAGGAACGGTCGGACCGATCCTTCCTACCAAAAATGGCATGGGAAGTGGTTATACAACCCAAAAGGCTGGGAGGGTTGTCCATCATTCAAATTGGGGCTCTGCTCTCTAGATGGGTGCCGTGGGCAATACTGGCAGGACCTTTCGTCGGCTGGAAACAGCTGGCAGAATTCGCACTGTGCACAGGATGGGACTGGCAGGCGGTGCGTTGTTTGTGGATAGCAGTGCTTAGTACGCAAGAATCGGCCGGATTACCTCAGAAAATGTTTGCCCGAAGGCATATGGGCGGGGATAATGAAGGCATGGAGACGTTGTTGCCTCCGACTGTTTTGTCTGCCCTAGGTGGTGGATAGAATTTTGTCCCAG